TACGCCGCCAGGGACTCAAATCCTGCAGTGCTAGACGTGTCCCCCTGCTTAAGCCAGTACATGTCCAGGCCCGTCTGAAGTTTGCTAGAGTGCATTTGGATGATCCAGAAGAGGATTGGGAGAATGTCATATGGTCAGATGAAACCAAAATATAACTTTTTGGTAAAAACTCAACTCGTCGTGTTTGGAGGACAAAGAATGCTGAGTTGCATCCAAAGAACACCATACCTACTGTGAAGCATGGGGGTGGAAACATCATGCTTTGGGGCTGTTTTTCTGCAAAGGGACCAGGACGACTGATCCGTGTAAAGGAAAGAATGAATGGGGCCATGTATCGTGAGATTTTGAGTGAAAACCTCCTTCCATCAGCAAGGGCATTGAAGATGAAACGTGGCTGGGTCTTTCAGCATGACAATGATCCCAAACACACCGCCCGGGCAAGGAAGGAGTGGCTTCGTAAGAAGCATTTCAAGGTCCTGGAGTGGCCTAGCCAGTCTCCAGATCTCAACCCCATAGACAATCTTTGGAGGGAGTTGAAAGTCTGTGTTGCCCAGCGACAGCCCCAAAACATCACTGCTCTAGAGGAGATCTGCATGGAGGAATGGGCCAAAATACCAGCAACAGTGTGTGAAAAGCTTGTGAAGATTTACAGAAAACGTTTGACCTGTGTCATTGCCAACAAAGGGTATATAACAAAGTATTGAGAAACTTTTGTTATTGACCAAATACTTATTTTCCACCATCATTTGCAAATAAATTCATTAAAAATCCTACAATGTGATTTTCTGGATTTTTTTTTCTCATTTTGTCTGTCATAGTTGATGTGTACCTATGACGAAAATTACAGGCTCTCTCATCTTTTTAAGTGGGAGAACTTGCACAATTGGTGGCTGACTAAATTCTTTTTTTCCCCCACTGTAGCTTATATCCCGCCAGCTGTATGTTATCCATGTCGTCGTTCAGCCACGACTCGGTGAAACATAAGATATGACCGTTTTTAATGTCCCGTTGGTAGGACATCCTTGATCTTAGGTCATCCATTTTGTTTTCCAATGATTGTACATTGGCTAATAGGACTGATGGAAGATGCAGATTACTCGCTCGCCGTCGGATCCTTACAAGGTACCCCGACCTACGTCCACGATATCTCTGTCTCTTTCTCATGCGAATGACAGGGCTTTGGGCCTTGTCGGGTATCTGTAGAATATCCTTAGCATCCGACCCGTTGAAGGAAATATCTTTGTCCAATACGAGGTGAGTAATCACTGTCCTGATATCCAGAAGCTCGTTTTGGTCATAAGAGAAGGTGGCAGAAACATTATGTACATAATAAATTACAAATAATGCAAAAAAAACACACATAATAGCACAATTGGTTAGGGGGCCATGAAACGGCAGCCATCTCCTCCAGCGTCATTCTATTTAAAGAAACAGTGAGTTGCGTAAAAAAGGGGTTCAATGCAAATAGTCCGGGTAGCCATTTGATGAACTGTTTAGCAGTCTTATGATATAGGACCCACCTTCTTTTTTCCCCTTTTACCCCCCTTTTTCAATATTTTCTTATCAACACGCTCAGGAGAGGTGACGGTGGAGTCATGTATCCTCCGAAACCTGACCCGCCAAACCGTGCTACTTAACACCGTGTTGCAACTAACACGCGCTAGCTTAACCCGGAAGCCAGCCGCACCAATGTGTCGGAGGAAACACCTTTCAACTGGTGAACACCGTTCACCCGGCCCGTTCAACGGCACCAGGCCCGCCACAAGGAGTCGCTTGAACGCGATGAGCCAAGTAAAGCCCCGCCGGCCAAACCTTCCCCTAACCCAAAAGATGCTCGGCCAATTGTGCGCTGTCCTATGGGACTCCCGGCCACAGCCGGTTGTGGCACAGCCCGGGAATGAACCCGGGTTTGTAGTAACGCCAGTGCCTTAGACTGCTGCGCCACTTGGGAGGCCCTGGACCCACCTTCTGTTTCAAGACGGTATTCAGCTTGTCGAAATATGCTTTCAGAGACGCGTTGCCTGAAGTAACCAACCCTCCATCTCCAGAGGATGCCCCAACACCATGTCTGACCCGGAGACAATATAAAATGGTGGTGAGTGTATTAGTTCTGTCTTAGGAAAGTTTATGAAAATATTAGGGGAAAAATGTGGTCTGTTTAAATAACTGTAGAGTGTCTAAATTCAATATCAGTGCCCACGATTGTCTGCCCCCCAAATATAACCTATAGCCCTCAAACTCAACTCTGGACCTTGAAGCCAGTTCCACTTCCCTTTTCCATCGTTCCCCTCTAATCAGGGACTGATTTAGGCCTGTGACACCAGGTGTGTGCAATTAATTATCAGGTAAAACAGAAAACCAACAGGCTCAGGACCTCATAAAATATATTGCAGTGTAAATTGTCTACTTTCTGATCCTAACGGTTGCAAATACATTTTCATGCTGTAATGAACACTTGGATATGTGCGCTTGCCCTTACCTGTGGCGCTGGAGGTTGATAAAGCGGTGGATGGGAATGCCATTTTCCGGCAGGCCTTCCAGAGGAAAATTACCTCCCTGAAAGAATTAGAAAACACAACATTCAGGTTGAGCTATTCAGTTAATAAAAATAGTTAGATAACTCATCTCAAGTCAAAAGTTATTTAAAAAATGTACCAGGTCTCTCAGTAGGTTGTGTGTTGTTCGCACCGGATGTCCTTGTAGCTTGCAAGGTATTGGCTTGGAGCAAACTTGCGCGAGGCACAGGAAGGAGCTCATCCAAGTGATAGCCTTAAATGCCATTCATAGGGTAGTTAGATGACCTACAACAAAGGCATATTGTTAGAATATAATCCTGAAAATGATTAATTCGTTGAAGCCTGAAGCAATGATCAAATTATAGCATATTGACTCACTTATTGCAAGTATATTGGACAATTCCTCCAGAGTCAGAATGTGGTTTGTGTTCTGATCCCATATCTGCGACTTAACTTAAATTGTGAGGATTTAAATGATAAACAAAAAGTGAAGGGGTGTCTCTGTTTGAGTTATGATTGAATTTGGGAAAGTTTCGCCTAGTGAATCGCAAGACCGGATTTCTATTTTCGTGTCCTGCACTTCCCTCTCGTCATGTTCCGATTGTTCCTTGAAGGGAGGCACGTGGTCCTAAGTTTTAAAAATGTAACTCATAGCTTGCCTTGCGAAGTCTCAAACTTAGCTAAAACAGACAGGAAGAGGGAGAGAGAGAATGTCGACCCTTTAACTTTAAAATGAGTAGACCTCTTTATGTTTTTATCAATACCAACATTATTAAACGAATGGCTGTTGTATGGGCTAAGGGTACTACTATGTTTTTTTGTATCACAAAACTGCTATTTCCTGCTATTTTCTCTTTCTCTCTGTGAGTGTCTGTGAGAGCGAGGAAGTGATATGATTATTTAATATGATCTCTTTCTCTTTGCTTCTTTTGTCTTTAACCCCATTAATGTCTATACATTTGAATTCAATTGTTGATTATAAGTGATGATTAAAATAAATAGGAATTAACCAGCATTTTATGACGTCTGTATCTGAATACATTTAATTTTTCATCATTATGCGAGACTAGTAGGCCAAAATGAATAAACCAATGTGCCAATGTGTTGTTTAAACATTATCGTAGGTTTATTAGAAAATGACCTAAATAAAAATCCTTAATACTACATCGTCCTGGACATGCGACGCTTAAGGGGTAATTTCTGCGATTGCTACAACCATTTTGTGACTTTAAATTGTTAATACACATAATACAGCCATTGATTCTTGAAGAATATATAACTTTTAAAGGCCTCATGAGCTTAGTTAAAGGGTCGTATCTCATCAGAACCTCAAATATAAGCTCTTTTAAGCCATTGGTTAAAACAATGTAAATATATTTTTTTTAAACACTGTAGAGCTTCAAGATGTAGATAAGACTATAATGTTGATCTCATGGATGATCCTTCCTTGCATCCATAGCTCTGTGATAATGGTTATATTTCTTCAACCCCATCCCTCAGCTATTTACCAAAATGGTGGTTGAGCTTTCGTTTTTGAACTGCAGACTGCCCCTTTAACAAAGTCAGTCTATAAATAATAATAATAATAATATGCCATTTAGCAGACGCTTTTATCCAAAGCGACTTACAGTCATGCGTGCATACATTTTTGTGTATGGGTATAAACAACTGAATAAATGAAATAATTAATGGATGAATCCATGAATGAATGAATGCATATATAAATGAATGAATGAAAACGATATGAGAATAGATGCATGTAGTTTTCATTTAATTTTAATATAAATAAACAAATAAATAAATACATAGTGTAAACATAAATATCAGTCAACCAATCTTTCTAAATAATACACTGAGTGTACAAACATTAGGAACACCTGCTTAATATTGAGTTGCACCCCCTTTTGCCCTCAGAACAGCCTCAATTCGTTGGGGCATGCGTTCAACCGGAATGCTGGCCCATGTTGACTCCAATGCTTCCCACATTTGTGTCAAGCTGGCTGGATGTCCTTTGGGTGGTGGACCATTCTTGATACACAAGGGAAACTGTTGAGCGTGAAAAACCTAGCAGCGTTGCAGTTCTTTACACATTCAAACCGGTGCGCCTGGTACCTACTACCACACTCCCTTCAAAGGCACTTAAATATTTTGTCTTGTCCATTCACCCTTTGAATTGCAAACGTACATAATCGATCTCTCAATTATCTCAAGGCTTAAACATCCTTCTTTAATCTGTCTCTGCCCCTTCATCTACACTGATTGAAGTGGATTTATCAGGTGACATCAATAATGGATCATAGCTTTCACCTGGATTCACCTCGTCAGTCTGTCATGGAAAGAGACAGTGTTGCTAATGTTTTGTACACTCAGTGTATAACCTATAGGCTACAGAAGAGGGATCATACTTACGCATAACTTTTACTTTTCAACTTGACGATATATGATGTTTTGGAACTGGTTAAGTGCTGTTTTGTTCCAGGTGACAGAAGTCAGGCTTTTGTTAAATAATTGGGCCACATATCCCATAGCCTCTAATGCAACCACAGAGACGTCCTCGACCTGGATAAAATAAAATAGGGTTTTAGGCACATACCATTTTGAAATTTCAAGAAGTCATACTGTAGTTTAGGCTATCAAAATCTTGCTACGATACTGAAGCGTATCCTACCTGTGTGTTCATGTAAACATCCTCTGGAAACATTTGTTTGTCTTTTTCTTCTGCACACATACGTGGAAAGTATCCACCCTGAAATAGAACTCATATCAATATCAATAAGTTAACTGTATTGGGATAGTGACCTTAAATTAAATATTGTGGTACAGAGAGGGAAAGCATTGGTTAGACATAACATGTGCTATAATGCAAAATAAAAATGTGAATATCATAACGAACCTTGCGCATCAATTTGTGCACACCAAACAGCACACTTGCAATTTAAATTTCTCACCATCTCTGAGAGCAGAACTATGCTATTATCGTTCATGCTCCTCAACCTAGACTGCGTCCACCTGCAAGGTTTGGATGCTGCTGTGCCTTGGCAGAACATGGTCAGGCAAATGCTCAACCATTTCAATACAGTCATGTTTATTTAATTAGAACTTGAGTGCAACGGTGCATACAATGGTGCAGTGCTCTCTCCTAGCAAATTAAGGCCATGTTCAATATAAATATGCTCAAATTGTGGACATTCTACACCACAGATTCTGTATAGAGTTAACCAGAAAGTGTGTTCAGTAGGCGTAGCACAACGGTCACATTTTGCTCACACATTTAATCTGTTGTGACTCTCTTTTGATCAGGTAGTGTAATCTGAAGCATGACTGTTCAGTGTTAACATTGCACATCTTTTAAATAAAAACACATTTTATTAATAGAGTGACTGGTAGTGTTAAATGAAAGCTAAAGCCGTACCGCCTCTATAATCGAGAGTAGAGCGCAGTGGTATTGTCTTTGCTGCCAGTATGCAGGGGAATTACTTTTCCTTTTCTCCCATGCGGTTCATTCTTATTAAATTGATTCGGTAAATTCCAAGGGATCTTTTTACAGTTGGTTAATTTCTGTTTAATAAAATATTATGTGCCCTAAATTAGTCTTTACTGGGCGCTTACCATTACGACGACGATGATGATGATGATGTGTGAATTTGACCTAATGTGAATGATGATTATAGCTAAATTTTTCCGAAACCTTTATTTAACCATGGAAGTCCCATTGAGATATAGAATTATAGAATGATGATGACGACGACGTTAATTGGAGGTGTAGGTCTCTGATTTTGCAGTTTTTATGTTAAGCCTTTATATTACGTTACCTTGTAACAATGACCTAACTGATCATGGCATTGATTTATCAACATTGTAGGCCTATCAACAAATTAATGATTATTTTCAAACGTGAGATGAATTTCACTGTATTTGTGCAGTCAATTAATTACAAATGGGTTAACATTTACATTTTACATTTTAGTCATTTAGCAGACGCTCTTATCCAGAGCGACTTACAGGAGGGGGGTAGAAGGATTACTTTATCCTATCCCAGGTATTCCTTAAAGAGGTGGGGTTTCAAATGTCTCCGGAAGGTGGTGAGCGACTCCGCTGTGTGTGGGGGAGGGGGGGGGGGGGGGGTAGAAGGATTACTTTATCCTATCCCAGGTATTCCTTAAAGAGGTGGGGTTTCAAATGTCTCCGGAAGGTGGTGAGTGACTCCGCTGTGGGGTGGGGGGGGGGGGGGTAGAAGGATTACTTTATCCTATCCCAGGTATTCCTTAAAGAGGTGGGGTTTCAAATGTCTCCGGAAGGTGGTGAGTGACTCCGCTGTGGGGTGGGGGGGGAGGGGGGGGGGGGGGGGGGGGGGGGGGGGGGGGTAGAAGGATTACTTTATCCTATCCCAGGTATTCCTTAAAGAGGTGGGGTTTCAAATGTCTCCGGAAGGTGGTGAGCGACTCCGCTGTGTGTGTGGGGGGGGGGTTAGAAGGATTGCTTTATCCTATCCCAGGTATTCCTTAAAGAGGTGGGGTTTCAAATGTCTCCGGAAGGTGGTGAGTGACTCCGCTGTCCTGGCGTCGTGAGGGAGCTTGTTCCACCATTGGGGTGCCAGAGCAGCGAACAGTTTTGACTGGGCTGAGCGGGAGCTATGCTTCCGCAGAGGAAGGGGAGCCAGCAGGCCAGAGGTGGATGAACGCAATGCCCTCGTTTGGGTGTAGGGACTGATCAGAGCCCGAAGGTACAGAGGTGCCGTTCCCCTCGCTGCTCCAAAGGCAAGCACCATGGTCTTGTAACGGATGCGAGCTTCAACTGGAAGCCAGTGGAGTGTGCGGAGGAGGGGGGGTGACGTGAGAGAACTTGGGAAGGTTGAACACCAGACGGGCTGCGGCATTCTGGATGAGTTGTAGGGGTTTAATGGCACATGCAGGGAGGCCAGCCAACAGCGAGTTGCAGTAATCCAGACGGGAGATGACAAGTGCCTGGATTAGGACCTGTGCCGCTTCCTGTGTAAGGCAGGGTCGTACTCTCCGAATGTTGTAGAGCATGAACCTGCAGGAGCGGGTCACCGCCTTGATGTTAGCGGAGAACGACAGGGTGTTGTCCAGGGTCACGCCAAGGCTCTTCGCACTCTGGGAGGAGGACACAACGGAGTTGTCAACCGTGATGGCGAGATCATGGAACGGGCAGTCCTTCCCCGGGAGGAAGAGCAGCTCCGTCTTGCCAGGGTTCAGCTTGAGGTGGTGATCCGTCATCCATACTGATATGTCTGCCAGACATGCAGAGATGCGATTCGCCACCTGGTTATCAGAAGGGGGAAAGGAGAAGATTAGTTGTGTATCGTCAGCGTAGCAATGATAGGAGAGGCCGTGTGAGGATATGACAGAGCCAAGTGACTTGGTGTATAGGGAGAAAAGGAGAGGGCCTAGAACTGAGCCCTGGGGGACACCAGTGGTGAGAGCACGTGGTGCGGAGACAGCTTCTCGCCACGCCACTTGGTAGGAGCGACCGGTCAGGTAGGACGCAATCCAGGAGTGAGCCGCGCCGGCGATGCCCAGCTCGGAGAGGGTGGAGAGGAGGATCTGATGGTTCACAGTATCAAAGGCAGCAGACAGGTCTAGAAGGACAAGAGCAGAGGAGAGAGAGTTAGCTTTAGCAGTGCGGAGAATCTCCGTGACACAGAGAAGAGCAGTCTCAGTTGAATGACCAGTCCTGAAACCTGATTGGTTTGGATCAAGAAGGTCATTCTGAGAGAGATAGCAAGAGAGTTGGCTAAAGACGGCACGCTCAATAGTTTTGGAAAGAAAAGAAAGAAGGGATACTGGTCTGTAGTTGTTGACATCAGTGGGGGTCGAGTGTTGGTTTTTTGAGAAGGGGAGCAACTCTCGCTCTCTTGAAGACGGAAGGGACATGGCCAGCGGTCAAGGATGAGTTGATCAGCGAGGTGAGGTAGGGGAGAAGGTCACCGGAGATGGTCTGGAGAAGGGAGGAGGGGATGGGGTCAAGCGGGCAGGTTGTTGGGCGGCCTGCAGTCACAAGTCGCAGGATTTTATCTGGAGAGAGAGGGGAGAAAGAAGTCAAAGCATAGGGTAGGGCAGTGTGAGCAGGACCAGCAGTGTCATTAGACTTAACAAACGAGGATCGGATGTCGTCAACCTTCTTTTCAAAGTGGTTGACGAAGTCATCCACAGAGAGAGAGGAGGGGGGGGGGGGGGGGGGGGGAGGATTCAGGAGGGAGGAAAATGTGGCAAAGAGCTTCCTAGGGTTAGAGGCAGATGCTTGGAATTTAGAGTGGTAGAAGGTGGCCTTAGCAGCAGAAACAGATGAAGAAAATGTAGAGAGGAGGGAGTGAAAAGATGCCAGGTCGGCAGGGAGTTTAGTTTTCTTCCATTTCCGCTCCGCTGCCCGGAGCTCTGTTCTGTGAGCTCGCAATGAGTCATCAAGCCACGGAGCTGGAGGGGAGGACCGAGCCGGCCGGGAGGATAGGGGACACAGAGAGTCAAAGGATGCAGAAAGGGAGGAGAGGAGGGTTGAGGAGGCAGAATCAGGAGATTGGAGGGAGAAGGATTGAGCAGAGGGAAGAGATGATAGGATGGAAGAGGAGAGAGTAGTGGGAGAGAGAGAGCGAAGGTTGCGGCGGCGCATTACCATCTGTGTAGGGGCAGAGTGAGTAGTGTGGGAGGAGAGCGAGAGAGAAAAGGAAACAAAGTAGTGGTCGGAGACATGGAGGGGAGTTGCAGTGAGATTAGTAGAGGAGCAGCATCTAGTGAAGATGAGGTCAAGCGTATTGCCTGCCTTGTGAGTAGGGGGGGACGGTGAGAGGGTGAGGTCAAAAGAGGAGAGGAGTGGAAAGAAGGAGGCAGAGAGAAATGAGTCAAATGTGGACATAGGGAGGTTGAAATCCCCCAAAACTGTGAGGGGTGAGCCATCCTCAGGAAAGGAACTTATCAAGGCGTCAAGCTCATTGATGAACTCTCCAAGGGAACCTGGAGGGCGATAGATGACAAGGATATTAAGCTTAAATGGGCTAGTGACTGTGACAGCATGGAATTCAAATGAGGAGATAGACAGATGGGTTAGGGGAAAAATTGAGAATGTCCACTTGGGAGAGATGAGGATTCCTGTACCACCACCCCTCTGACCAGATGCTCTCGGGGTATGCGAGAACACATGGTCAGACGAGGAGAGAGCAGTAGGAGTAGCAGTGTTTTCAGTGGTGATCCATGTTTCCGTCAGCGCCAGGAAGTCGAGGGACTGGAGGTTGGCATAGGCTGGGATGAAGTCAGCTTTGTTGGCAGCAGAACGGCAGTTCCAGAGGCTGCCTGCGACCTGGAACTCCAGGTGTGGGGTGCGTGCAGGGACCACCAGGTTAGAGAGGCAGCAGCCACGCGGTGTGGTGCGTTTGTGTAGCCTGTGCAGAGAGGAGAGAACAGGGATAGGCAGAGGCATAGTTGACAGGCTGTAGCAAATGGCTACAAAAATGCAGAGGAGATCGGAATGAAATGAGCTAAGCATCTGGGAGAGGAGAGAGCAGGGCCTCCCTCACCAAAAACTTCTACCTCAGAAACTAAAATTGTTTCACTGAACCACCCGAACAAAAACTCTCCCAACTTCCACCTTTAGAAATCAGAATTGTTGTGAACCACAGCGGTTCAATGTTTAAAGGAATAGACTCAACCCACTTCATTCAGCTAGCTAACTATGACACCATAGCTAACTAGCATGCTAGCATCCAATAACAATAACACACAGTTTAGCACCAACACTTGGTCACAACAAACCACCAATAGTGTGTTAACTAGCTAACTAGCATGCTAGCATCCAGTAACACACAGTTTTAGCACCAACACTTGGTCACAACAAACCACCAATAGTGTGATAACACACTAAACAGATCATTCGTGTCTGTGTCAAGTTCCTTTCATGACACAGCAATGATTAAACGTTGGCTAGCTAGGACAAGTATATTGTATTTAGCTACTACAGTACAGTTAGCTGGTCGTGTTGGGTAGCTAGCAATGGCCACTGTGTTGACTTTGTTTGAAGAACGGCTAGCTAGCTAGCTTCGTGCTACACCCGGCACACAATGGCTACTGTGTTG